TGAAGTTCTGTACAGCACCAATCAATTTACAATATCGGCTTTTCTATAGCGGAAGCTTACATTCCGCACATGAAGTTCTGTACAGCACCAATCAATTTACAATATCGGCTTTTCTATAGCGGAAGCTTACATTCCGCACATGAAGTTCTGTACAGCACCAATCAATTTACAATATCTTTACAACATAAGTTCATCTCCACCATATCAACACCACGTTTCTATATTATAAAAATATTTTGGTTTTTTTCCACAAATAGTGCTGTATCAGACTGGTATGTCCTTTCAGTTTAAAAAGCCTCCATACTCTTATGTTGATTCCATGTCACATTTTCATTCTCCAAATTTTATTTTGCCATTTACTCCCTACTTATCCGCTCGTGTCCTATCCACAAGTTATTTATGTCCAGCTTCCATCATCTGTTCTGTTGTGAATTGTTTGGTACATACTACGTAGGTCTAACTTTTCACCTTTTTCCAAATTCATTACTGCATCTCGCGTGATAATTGTCAAGTAATTTGAACAGTTAGTTTATCCAAGTGATTTATGATACAGTTAACATATTAAATAGCTTCATAACACTATCAAAAATTACAGCAATTCATCCCAAATCTTCACTGATTGGTAAGTTACCCATTTTTGAGAATATGCATTTAACGCGGGTGATTTTAAAAACCCTGCCCAGCCAGATATTTGTATGGAACCTCAACGAAACGAAACTGTACCGCTCGTAATGGATACCTGATGTTGTCGCATCCAACATAGCATCCAAAGTCTGCTTACCAATTTCAAGATATCATTGACTCGTTATCTCGAATCCTCGGAATTATTCGAAATGAAAGATTTCAGGGCAAGAAATCTCTGTTCGGAACGCTATCCGTATGCGGTGGTAAATATGAAGGACCATTGGAAGATGCCCGCTGAATTACTTCAAGTGACATTCATAAGGAAAATGTCTCAGAAACCACAGGATGTTTTCAATCGAAGGGCAACAACTACTCCGATATACATAAATTGTTAAAAAAAATTAGGATATAATCTGTAAAATTGTGGAAGTACCGTGCTGTTGCGGAATGTGCCCTTTGAAGATGTCGTATAAAAAGTATCCCCAGCTGCTTGCTCTTCTGAACCACTTCTGCAAATGTAACTTCTCGAGTATGTTGCTACACCGATCGGAAGAACAGGAGATAAATTAATAAACTGGTAAATACAATTAAATATAAAACTGGCTAATCAAGGCCGAACACACAAGGGGTTACAAATTTTTCATCTCAGTGAGTAATTCCTGACTCTTGAAATGTACGTTGGTGCAACCGAAATAAACAGTGGTGCAACCGAAAATATAAATTATAAATTAAAGTTATTACGAAGTACACGTTAGAAACATAGAATACAAAAACAATCATATGCCAATGTAATGAAATTGCTGATAATCAGACAACCAAGTGAAAAGTGTTCAAGTTGGTGAGAAAAGAAACGAAATCACAGAATCAGTACGGTATTTTACTATTCTAAAATGCAGTACTTCTTTTCAGCAATATAACGGTTTTCCTAGAAATTATGTTCTGCAATAATTTTGTAATCTTCACCGATATAATTCATGATTCTGATTTTCATTGTTCACTATATGTTTTAAAGGATTACATAAAAGGAACATGAATATAACTAGGGCACATAAAAACATCAGGATTAATGGGAATAAGCGTTAGCTTGAAACTCCAGTAATATTTTTATTCATGATTTTCCAGTGATTCTGCTGGCGATGGTACTTCTTTCACATTGGGCATATAATCACGCGCCATTAAACACGCAAAGACAGTCATTACCATTCTCGGTTTAACCTAAAAAATTATATGTCATACTCCAAACGAAATTTCAGATAACTTCCATGGAAATGAAAAAATAAAAATGAACTTCAACAATGTCTTCTGGCAAAGCATAGATTTTTGCACCAATTTTGCGTCCTGATGTGATTGCGTATTTTGCATTCTCCAAATTATCCTATAAGAAAGTAACTGATATAAAAACTTTCTTTTTTCTTTTGCAACGCAAACGGATGCAGGAAAATGCAGGTAATAATCGGCAAACTTAACTGAAAGAGAAATATTTCATACACTCTTAACAAAGCTGAAATAGAGAGTTTCAGTATGTAAATCAATAGCTACAGACAAAACTAACCTCAGCAGTACCAGTTTTTACGAGTGAGTAACTGATTGTGCCCGGTTTGATTGATTCAATAAGATCCAGAACGACACAAGCATCGGATATTACTGGGTCTTGAAAGCTTTTTATAGATCTTTTTCGATCGGAGGACGCTAACTGCAAATGCGATGAGATGTCGCATCCACCAGTATGCTCGCACATTTAAAGAACTTTTAGAATGATCTGCCATAGTCATGAAGTTTCAAAAGCATAGAAAAGTCCAACACATTAAATCTGTAAACTTTTGCAAGGTTCTACGACATTGCTACATCCGCAAAAAAAGCAATATTCATGGAACATACTTTTTTATTCACCCACGCAATAATTTCTTTATCAGTTGCCAAAGAATCACCACTCTGCGTACATTGCGCTAATACAGTCAAAGTATAGGCGCGCATCAGCTGCCATACCAAAGCTAAAAGAAAGGGAAATACGACTGGAAGAACAACTGACAATGCTATAATCTCTCACTTTAACTGATGCTTTCATTCTTAAACCACTTCAGAGTCCCTCAAGAGAATGTTTCCCACCTTACGGCCATAAGTAACCACCAGCCAGTTCGTCCCAGTAATAACTGCTAATAAACGTCGATTTCGAACAGCTAATCTCACGTGCAATCTTCTCCGAAATTATGAATAAACAAACCAAGCGTAAGCGTTTGATTGCCATCATAAATGTCTTTGCCCTGTATTCCAACCAATGAAAACCGCAGCTGTTTACCAAGTTCAATCGCATAGTTGCAGTTCTGGATTTGGTCCATCATACCTTTTAATTTGGAAAACTTCTTAACCACTCGTTTCCAATTCACTATTCCAGGGCGAATTATATCATAAAGCTGGAACAAAGGCTTCAACAACCCAATAATTAATTTACAATAAAATCACTACCTAGCTAACAAACAAACCGAAAAATGAACTTGAGATCGCATAGTATTTGCTAAAGTGGTTTTCACACCACATGTCAATTACATTCATTGAGTACGCTGAACTAACTTGAAAAATAATAACACCACTGCAAAGATCGCTATAAAGCCAGTTGACATGTGGATCAACACCCATACTGTTCATCCAATTCCTATACGTCTTTTCCTCACGTGTTTCATCAGCAGTATCGATTTCTGAAAAGTCCAAATTTCGCTTATTGAAACTAAACATCAAATCCAGAATGGAAATCACAAGCAAATCGGAATTCTTCAATGAGGTATAAACTGGACAAAGCCCCTATTTAACAAAACGAAAAATAACCTTCCTCCTTTCTCCGTTAAAATGATGACTGATGATTTAATAGGTCAGAATTATCTCGTTTCTCTTTCATCGCACTTGATATTGTCACAATAAAACTCACCAAACTCGTCTGCTCCTGGTTCCGGAAGGCTTGGATATTTATTAAAAAGATTGGCAACAAATGCTAGATTTAATTTATAGTTCCCTTGAGCAACATCGCTTGGCGCAACAAATTCGCGACAGTCTATCTTCTCAGCTTCATTCAACATAGCCGCCGCTCTCTGTATGTTACCCTGAAGAATGATTGAAGACTTATAAGTCAGAATTTCTTTTCCATGTTTGTTTCCTGCTTTTGATATAATGACGGAAATCAATTTCATTTCCGAAATTTCAAGTAGACACAAAAAAACTTGGTGCAGTCGTTCTACTGCATGTTTTCCATGATAGTATAAGTAATATCAAGAACCTTTTATATTATAAATTAAACTTATATTTTGAAATCCCTAATTTGATTTGAAAATTTTTAATGCCATGCATTTATTTGTAAATTATGTTTATGTTAAAATATTTGCTTCCACCCAGCTTTTCTACCCTTAAATCGTTTGAAGTGAGGCTGCCAAATTTTGAAACATAATAGCAGACAAAGGCACGCAGTTTCTACCTCTACTGTGCAATGTAGCAGCAAATTCTGACGTGAAAAAATATTTACATTTTAGCAAGAGTGGACAGAGACGATGCATTTTGCAAGTAAGCTAGTCGACAGTCTTTTAAAAGAATGAAGTAAATGAACAACTAATAGTGAACAGGCAGTACAGCTAAAGAAATACAGAATTTTAGGGGAGCTGGATGATAATCAGAGCAACCAGCAAATAAAGATAAGATCAAGACTGAAAAATATTCACGTAGAAACAAAAGAAAAAAAAACCAGTGGGGAAAAAAAAACAAAACCATAAGATCATGCGGCCTTCAAAAAAACAATCTTATAGATAAAATTGCGCATGTTAGCATAAAACTTCATTGCAAAAATCAACACCACATTCATTTAAACCGATAATGCTTTCGAATGCTACCAACGACCAAAATTAAGGACTGAGAAACCTAACATACCTTAACAGAGAGTGGATAAAGGGACACATTCGCTGTTTTTGGAGCGATTTCATTAAGTAAATAAGTATAAATCTCCGAGTCGATAACATCTGCGGTAAAATTCGTTAGCGTCCGATTCAAGCCAGCCTTTAAATATTTTTGATGAAATAAAATGAAATTGAAATGGACCTTCAAAAGTCACTAACACAAACGAGTTGTCCTCCACATATAACTATGTTCATATTATACGACAATTCATGTTCTACACTGAACTTTTGTGGAACTCTGCCTTCATTCCATCACCATCACCGTAGTCAACAAAAAACGACAGTTAATTTAACATGCTGAGTAGTAAAAGTAGAACCAGTTAAAATTTTCCAAGTGAAGGGAAATTACCAATCAAATTCAGTATTCCTAGCCTTTTTCGTACTTTGGAATTCACTGTAGCTCGAAAAAAATTTGGAAAGACAAATGAAATATTTTATTTTTGTTGGTAGAAGTGGAAACCCATGGTATCTATTCCAAATCAACTGTAGTAAGAATACCTTTGATAAATGGTAATTAACCCAACGTATCAGAATTTGTTCTGGTGAAAGCTTGCGTAAATCGTCCAGTGTCTCACCTTCTTGCAACAGCCGAAATAGTCCAGGCACATGTCTTAAGTCAATCTGATTAAATAAACCGATCTGCAATATAAAGCAATTCAAGAACCTTCAGTTATCCAGCCTTTTAGTGCTATTTACAAACATTTCCATAAGAGGAATCAACAAGTCTGCAGATGGTTGAACATCTGCAGACTTGTTGATGTTCAACTATTTAACAATCATAGCAAAAATCCTACTAAAACACTCACATGTTATGTTAAAGACAATTCTAAGATGAGTTGTAGAAAGCCTGACTTTGTGAATAGATTTCTTCCTGAGAAATACGTTGAATCAAGATACAGTTTGAAAATTACAGCACTTACCCGAATGATCTGCCACAGAAGGCCAAGTACGAGATGTGGTTTGCCCTTACTCAGATCATCACCATCGATATTAACGATATTACAACCGATAGCCTGTGCTGACATAAGTGCCAATATCAAATTCTCCAGTTTTGTATACGTGTTCAAATGCTTTTTGTTAATGGCTCTTTCATCAATGGTGTCAGGTACTGCCAAATTGATGAGTTTGCTACAAATACCATTCAAAACAATTCAATCTAATTCAGTTGCTAAGAACTGCTATTAAGGAACAATATCTATCTTCTCTTTCTTACTTCCTTAAAATGTGGACCGAACGGAAGAATTTGGTGAAGCAAACAAAGAGACATTACCATATAATAAGCCCGTCTTGCACTTTATGATAAAGGTCTCCACCATCAGTTTTTACAGGCACTAGATTTTTCAAATCCGCATCATTGCACAAATTACTGTTGATCCAATTTGAAAAAGCTACCTCCTCCTACAAAAAATCTGTGTTTTCCAAAATATTTTTCACTAATTTCCAATACTCGAAAAATGACAGAAAAAGAATTCCGACAGAAATCCAAAGGATTAAGTAGATTTGTTTTAGAAGTGCAGACCTCGACTCGAATGGTGTGCACGATTTCCTCATTACTTTGTTCTGACAATCCCTTTACTGTATAAGCACCAGTCACCGAACCAATCCGCTGTTTCCATTCATTCACTTCCTGATCTTTTTCGCTACGTAATTCAATAAACAAATTTTGGAAATCATCAAATGCCAAGTTCTTCGCGCTTCCATAGCGTTTCATTAGTTCACGAAACTGGAAGCAAACTATTTTATATAAAATGGTAGTTCGCAATTCAATCATTGAATGCTAATTCCATATAAAAAATAATAAATTTACCTGAAAACCTGGGAGGTCAATGCCTGCAATTTTAAGTGCTTCCTGAACATCCGCCACTGGTATTGTACCACAACCACTTTCATCAACCTAAATAAAAGTAAAGAATTAACAAAACCACATTACTGTGGGCTGACCCATTCTGATCATTCAATATAGCTTTAACTGACATCGATACTACAGTTTTAATACACAAACCAATTATTGATATACACAGTAAAATCCATAATGAATTTAAGAACTGACTGTCGAAAATCTTTCAGCGAGATCAACGATCTGCTCTCTCGTCAGCATTGACACCGGGAGTTCGTACCGCCGACGCACTCTGAAATCTCAGTTACTGTTCTGGAAGCATAAAACAGATTGCACCACTGAAAGACACTTTCCAAGTTTGCATCAGCGTCTACAGAATTTGAACGAATTTTGGACTTACTTTGGTCCTACCCAATCTCAACCCTCTGCAGTCAAATCTCATCCGGCGCTACCCAAGCATTTTTTCAACTCACCATCTTAACAATTCTTATCAGTTCCATCCTTCAACCATTACATTTGCTTTCTCCTTAATCTTAATTACTGTTATAACTAAATGACTCTTTTTAATGTTTTTCGCCTCTAACAGTACTTAATTCTCAAACTTCACCAATCCTGCTGTCCCTTCCCTCCACCGTACCACTTCACCCGCCTCCAACTTCTGATTTGAATCCAACTACTTTGTGAGATGCCGCGGGACGTTTTCTGTTGCATACTACCACGTGTGAAATATTTTTTTGGACATGTCTTGTTTTCACTATGACGTGACACAATCTGGTATGTTATCGCTAAGGAACTAGTCAAGCGGTGATGTGTGAGATTGCACGGGTGTTATTACACAAGTTTCACACGGCCAGTTATACAATGCAATACTTATAGTATAGTCGCGTCAGTAAGTTAGCATTCAATTCTTCAGTATCAAAGTGGTGAGGCATTTAGGTTGAATGTTGACTTACTTATGTGATGACATACCAGTAACTACCCACACTACGCACACATTCAGGCATTTTTGAAGTATTTAGATACCACTTCGTCCCAAAATAGTTCCAAGTCATAAAATGAAAGCGTCTGTATCTTATTTGGGATTTGAAGTCCTCAGGTTTCAAAAGGCGCGAAATGGATGATGGAAAATGCTGTTTAAAAGATCAGCGTTAGAGTCTGATAAGTGCTGTAGGCTAGTTAAGTGGAAATTGTGGTTGTAAACTGGTATGATAACGTGGAAATAACGCACCAAACTTTTGTCAAATGTGGATGTTTTTGATGATTTTTGGCCCGTTTGTAAGCTTACTTATTCTTACTGATATCAAACAAATTTGGTACCATGATGCTTTTACTTAAATTAGAAAATCCCGCCCTCTCTTCCTTCGCTGAAATGTTGTCTTTGTGAATAGAATCTCATTTATTTTGAGTACTGGTTTATTAAAAGGAAAGAGTAGTTTTAATAGCTTGGAATAAGCAATTATAATGTCAAGATCAGTCTCATTACTGAAAGGCCATCAGTTTCATTTAAAAACAAAGAGGTCAACCCACCGATTTTGTTTGAAAACAAAAGAATTCAACCACTTCTGCATGATACTCTCGTTTTAAAGGAGGAGAATTTCTTCGTATTAACATGGCTAATCTGAATATAAGTTATGGTTTAACATGACTAATATAAATATAAGTTATGGCAATTTGAATATAGCTCATCATTTATCTGGAAATGGCAAAAAGCTAATCTGGAAAGTCTTGCAGAAATTTGCTTTGGTTATGTCAACCTTTTTAAACACAACATTGAACCGATGCTTGCAATGAATAATTGCCTTAAAAACCGAATATCGATAAATACGAGTAACAACTTGCAGCACCTTCGTAAGCAAAGAAATTAACGAATCATTTTATAGACAACTAAATTAAGGTTCGTCCTCAATTGCAGTATCCAAGCCCTTTTTAGCTTTGCATTATAATTCGATCACATTCAACAGTTATTCCCGTTGCTTCCTGTGGTGATGCTACATGTTAGAGGAGGGCTCTAGAAGGAGGTTCAGGACACCATCGAGTCATTCTGCTTAATTTAATTCTCATCAGATACCAACAATTTCCAATTTCCATTTATACAGCGGGGCTCTTTTTATAGTGAGGTAATACAATCGAGTTCAAAAAATCACAGAAACAGAAGCGAAATGAAGTAGTACGATCTGACACCATTTGAGGGTTTATTTACTGCTTGTTGGAGAATCAACAGCACAAGCGATCACAAAGCCGCAAAACAAATACACAATAGCCGGCCTTGCATTTTAAAATTTATGAATTTTGATGAAGGGTAAGCATTAGGAGCGTGGCGCTCTTCAGAAACAGTCAAATGAAGAGTCATTATCCCCTAGTTGTTGACTAAAACGTTAGCAGTTTTTCAAAGTCAAATAATCTAGGATTTTATCACATTCCTTATTTTTAAGCAGGGCCCAGTTTTAATTTAAATTCACATGTAATAGTTTAATAAACACACGGATATTTCTCCCACAATTTTGAGTCACCACATATTTCCTACCATTCTTATCATTTAATTCTCAGATGATATGTCTTTTTTTTTCATTGTGATGCTGATAACATATTCACTCTTGGTGTTTTCTATTCAGTGGTCATAGCTGTTTACTGTAAGGACCAAACAAAACTATAAAAATTAAACAGTGGCCTGGTTGAGGAAGAAACAATATTAAAAATATGACTGGACGAGGTTTAGATTTTTGCTAGTACAACCAATAAATTGACATGCTGCCTTTTGAATATGAAATAACTTTTCTGAACAAGTAACTACTGGTTTAGATCTTACAATAAACATAAACTTTTCCGTTTTCTTGGAAATAAAATGTGAAATAAGTTGGAACGGGAGATATGTTGTGAAATAAGTTCCAAAATCTGACGTAACTAACAGAAATTTATAATGCGATCTTCAGACCAAAAACTAAATTTATTGCTAAAAAGTTCCAACCTTTTTGTTAGTTTTTACTAGTTCAATGCATTTAGAAATGTGAAATGCACTTGGATAATTGTTACATTTTCAGAAGAATATGTCTGGATGGTTGCAACGTTGCCGCGTTTAAACACTTCGTGAACTACCAAAATGCCTTTCAGGTTATCATAATTGCTCTTCATCTCCCCTATTCCCTTAGTATCAATTCTAGTAAAACTTTCACTATCACTAGCTCAGAAAAACTGCCCATAAACTCCTACTTTCAACTTTGCTTCCTTTCACAGCTTCCGTTTCCATACATTGTTGCTTCAGAGTCTGAACTTGATAAAATCGTATCAGAACTGTCAATATATTATGAAAAGGCGAAATTTCACAATCTCCCGTTATAAGTTGTGTCTTAAATATGAGTTACTTCTTCCAGTTTTCAATACTTTAGGTAAATTCCTATAGAGAAATAAAGTGAAAAATGATTTGCGTAATCGTAATTTTTTACTTTATAATGAAGATAAAAATTTCTTATAGCATATGATGTGTTATTAATGATGTTAATTGCCTATCGCTATAGAATATGAGAAAAACAATCCCAAGACAAATCAATGAAAGTAAGTAAAGGAGCGGTGTCTTCTAAAAGATGTTCTTTAATGCATTACTCCTGAGCCTTCTGATGATTTGAAATTTTGCCCATTTTTTCCAGTCCTGCTCTTTCTGCTCTTTCCTCAACGTCCACCAATCCCCCTTTGAAACTCTATAGTTTGATATTCATCCTCACTCATCTTTAAATCCTATTTACAGCTTTCAGCGGTGTAGGTCTTTGGATAAATTAAGATTTACTATCAGATTTCAGCTTATTCCATAATTTGTGTATAACTGACCTCTACGTCCTAAGTTCTCAAATAGGTAACTTATTCTCACACAAACACAAAACTTCTAGCTCATTCACGGTTATGTCACAAAAAGTAATGAAGAAATGGTAGACAAAATAGTATTGGTGAAATGATAAACCAGGATAAATGCAAACATAATGCCTTGCAGAGACAACATGTTTGAATAGTTATATAGCTGCTGGGTTATCCATAGTGGACAAATTACCTAATTAAACTTTTGTCCTGGACAATTTGAATGAAGTGATAGTAGTCTTTTTAAACTTTTATTTAACTTGCATGCCCTTCGCCTGTGTTTCGTTTTCACTAAACAATCGATTTCTATCGATTTGTCTCTAAAACACTGTAAGCATGGTAAACCGATTATTTAAAATGAGTAGATTAGTAGAAATACGACTCTTTAAGATAGAAGTTAGATTTGTGAAGCTTACTGATAAGTAGTTGTTAGAAGATTAAATAACTTTCTGATGATATACAGTATCTGTGCTCGACAAGACCTCATCATCTTGCATAAACGTTTGACCATTTTCAAGTGGTAATTAACATGATATATTCAAGACAGGACGAAAGACGGAAATTTAGAGAATTTAAGAAAGAAATTAACTTGTATTATTCACCACACTAATTCGGTTATTTTGCTGCTTGATACAAATAACATAATCAGCTGTGTTTAACCAAGTGAGCACAAGTAACCAGGCTGAGATGAAACTAATCAATATATTACGTATTACAAAATGGTAGGTAACAAGAAAGCAATGAAATTTCATGGTGCGAATGTTTTGGGGACTGGCTGAAGTAAATCCATATTTTATAGTCGTTCCAGCCAGTAGGTCATTAAAATTTTTACAAATGTCCATAAAAAAGAACTTGACTTGGATATTGGTACTCCCAGTCCCTACTGACTTAATTTTATAAGTAATATTTTATAATTAAGAGTTTATAAGTGAATAATATTTTTATAAGTAACAGGATGTTCAAAATGGTCAAGTGGCCACCCTCTTCATGGATGACGTGTCCAGCTTGCAGTTGTCATCATTGGCAAATGTGTTTTAACCCATTTCAGACGCTAACAAACCGGCGGAAAGATCCATTTCATACGAGTATCCAATACCAGCACAGATGTATCGTGTACTGAATTCGCGAATAGAAGTAGCATAGGGAATGACAAAAGTAATGACCGGTGTTGCTTTTCAGAAGCAAATAAAACCTAGCGACATATTAGTTGTTAAAAAGACAGCGAACAGTGGAATTTAAGTCCACTTACCATACAGAAATTCCCAGTAGATGTAAAAAATTAAGGATCTTGCACGTTGGTTTTTCAGATCGTTCAGGTATTCACCTTTTTTCCAATCCTTTTCCTCGACTTATTGTTTTGAGCAGATGTGCACTGCCCCTTTCATAATTCTCCAAAGCAGACCACAATTTTAATATCAGATTGTCCACTTTTAAAGCTGGGTGATTTAATTTCTGGCATAAAGTAAGTACTCCTTTTATGCCAGAAATTAAAGTAGAACTAGAAATTAATGATCGACTTTTGGTCTTCGACAAATCGATGTAGGCTTTTTTCTATTCATTTATCTTTGTCACAGTTTTTTTCGTAAAATTAACATTCGATATTTAAATACTCAGATGATCTAGAAATCTGACATCTCATAAGTCTGGAACCTTGTTAGTGAAAGCGCTTGGGAAATGGTGCATCCTCATCTCACAACTTTCTGAAAAATCATGTTAAGGCTTTTCCCAATCACCTGCACAATACCTTTTTTTATGTTATGCTTACGAAGAGCTTAAATCCTGCAAATTTATATTTTACGGCCGAAAGGTTCAAACGTTAGGACAGTTGTCAATTCAAAAGTTTTTCAGGATGCAACAGTAGACTTTCTCAGTCTTCTATGTTTTTTCTTTATCATTCCTACTTTACATACTCAACCTTCATCATGGTTAAACAAGCCTAATTCAGATAACTACAATCTTGTGGTTGGAGAACTTTATTGCAATGTATCAATAAAAAAAGAATCACAACACTCATCTTCCCGGGAATCATCCAGAAGTTTCACTCACTGCTTCTTTCATCGTTAGGAAGAGGGAACTTTCTCTTATCTCTACTGCTTGGCGATTAGCATCTTTCGAATCAAATACGATGCATCACAAGTGGTGCAAATTTACGATAACTATTATATGAAGAGTTAAACAAGGTATATATATATATATATATATATATATATATATATATATATATATATATATATATATATATATATATATATATATATATATATATATAGTATAGTA